GGTAACCAGCTCGTCGACGTTGAACAGCTCTGGCGTCCCTTGGGCGGTAGAGGCGACCTTCGGAGGCACATGTGACGGTCACGTTTGAGGGCAATGGTTGGGGGCTGTGTGGGGGCCACGTTTGGGGGGCGCCTGAGGGCTACGCGTGGGGGCGACCTTCGGAGGCTTTGTGTGGGGGCCGCCTTTGGGGGTCCTGTTTGGGGGCCACGTGGGGCCGACGTTTACAAGCCACGTCTGGGGGCCACCCCGGAAATCAGTCGGGGAGCTCCGGGGGCACCGACCTGGAAGCGTGAAAAGAAATAGGTTTTTGCTAATCGCGCCGGGCATAGGCGCGATTAGCAAAAACACAAAGGTTTTCAGGCACACTCAGAGTGAGGGGGGCACGTTTGCGGGCCTCGGTTGGGGGCCGCGCAGGGAGGTCTTGGGGCCATCTTGGGAGTCTCGGGCCGTCTCGGAGGTCGCTTTGGGCCCTCTTGGGCGGCACCTTGGGCCCTTCTGGGGGCGTCTTGGAGCCATCTTGGGGTCTCGGGCCGTTTCGGAGGTCGCTTTGGGCCCGGTCGGGCGGGGTCTGGGGCCTGGTTGGGGCTGACTTGAGAGTCACTTGAAGCTCTCTTGGGCCGTCTTAGGGCCCTCTTGGGCCGTCTACGGGCCTTCTCGGGCCGTCTGGGGGCCCTCCTGGGGCCCTCTTGGACCGCGCAGGGGCGATGTGGGAAGCCCCCTGGGGCCATCCTGGGCCGTTGTGGTCCCGAAGTGGCGGGATCAGGGAAACCATCGAAACTTTCGGAAAACTGATAAGTTTTGCCCCTTGGCGCCGTCCAGGCGGTCCTCGGGGGCCGTCTCTGAAGCCTTTGGGGGCCGTCAGGGGGCTTCGGTCGGGTCGGCTTCGGCCCTTGTGGGTGTCTGTGAGGCCGTCTTGGGGCGATCTGGGAGTCCTGGAGCCGTCGGCGAGCGATCCAGAGGCCTCCTGAAGCCGTCGAGGAGCGCCCCAGAGGCTCTCTGAGCGGCCCGCGAGCTCTCTGGGTGGCCCGGGGCGCTGCCACTGCTTGACCTTTTCGCAAGCGCTTCGCCCGGAATTGTAGTACAGACTAGGGCGAACCCGTGGACTTCGTTCACGTCCTGTCTTGGAGCCACCATCCTCCCGATCTTCGTTGGGGAATTGCGGGTCCTACGACAGCGCAGCCCCGAACAGAAGCATGCAGGGCCCCCGGAGCGTTGAAAACTGTCGTCCGCCTCACTTCTCTGGGAGCAGCTTGGAAACCTCTTAAGCTCTCGCGGGGGCCGCTCGGAGGTATCCTCGGGCCTCGTATGGGGTCTTGAGGATGACTTGGGGCCGTCTTGGGCGCCTCATGGGCTGTCGTCGGGCCGTCTTGGACGGCTCTTGGGCAAACTTGGGCGCCTCCTGGGCCATCTTGCCATCTTGGAGACCTCCTATGTGGTTGTGGGGCCTGTCCAAATCCTCTTGGACGGCTGTCTTGGGCCGGTCTTGACTCGGAATGGCGAGAAGGTGGAAATCTTGCAAAAACCATTGGAGAATTAACGATTTAGATTGCGGCGGCCCGTCTGGACGGCCTCTGGGGCCGTGTAAGGACTCTATTGGGGGTGTTGGGCCGTCTCTGAGGTGTCTGTGAGCCCTCTGGGGCGGCTCTTGGGGCTCTCTCGCGCCGTCTTGGGTCTCTCTTGGGCCGTTTCGGACTCCTCCGGGAGCTGTCTTGGAGCACTCCTAAGCCGTCTTGGGGCCCTTGCCGGAGCCTCTTGAGCCTGGGAGAATTTGTGGTTCCAGGAGCTGTTTGGGGCCGCTCTTAGCTCGAAATTGCGAGAACCTGAAAATCAGGCAAAACTCATCGAAGAATCAATGATTTTGGGCCGCCGTGAGCCGTCTGGACGGCCTCTTGGCCCGTCTCGGGGCCATGTTGGGGCTCTTGGGCTGTCTCGGAGCTCTCCGTGAGCCCTCTTGGGCGGCTTTTGCTGCCCTTTTCAAGGCTCCAGGGGCTCTCTCGGGTCGTCTTGGGGCTCGCTTGGGCCGTCTTGGGCTCCTCCTGGAGCCGTCTTGAAGCCCTCCTGAGCTGTCTTGGGGCCCTTGCCGGAGCTCTTGGGCGGCCTTGGAGCGTCCCAGGGGGCCCCAAGAGCCGTCTTGAAATCGCGAGAACATAGAAGCCGTAGAACAATCAATGACTTTTGGCCGCCGCGAGCCGTCTGGACGGCCTCTGGGTCGCGCGCTCGAGCCGCCCAGAGGCACGCCGTGCCGCGACACGGGCGCCAGGGGCCTGCCTGAGGCCGCACCAGGGGCCCGCCGAGGCCGATCTTGGATACCTGATCCGTTTCCCTTCCCGCACGCGCTTCCCCCGGCCATGCAGGAGAGACCAGGGCTGACCCGTGGCCTGCGGGCCACGAAATCCATCCGAGATGGCATGTGGGGCCATGGCAGGGATGATGCCGCAAGACTTTCGTGGTGACGTTGGGCCCGATAGTCGCCTCTGCTGTTGCTGCCTGCAGCTGCGGGGTGCTGCTGCCTGCGACTTGCTGCTGCTTGCGTGAATGCTGGCTGTGTGCTGCCGCTGCTTGCTGCGGACTGCTGCTGTTCGCTGTTGCCACTTGAGGCTGCAGAGTGCTGTTTCGTGGTGCCCTTGCAAGCCGACGCAACCTAGAGTTCGTGAGTGGACCGAGGACCTAGGACCGATGAGTCAGGGTCGAGAGGGGTAAGAAGCGAGGAGCGATCTGCGAGAAGGAATGAGCGAGAAGGAAAGCAACGGTCGAAAAGAGAAGAGAAAGAGAGAGCGAGAGAGAGAGGCGAGGAGGGATGAGGGAGAACCGAAGAAGGGGGGAGGCAGACGCCAGTAGTCAAGAGGGAGAAGGGAGGGGCCAGGAGAGTGGTTGCAGGAGCGAGGAGTAAGACGAAAAGGCCACGAGCGAGAAGAGAGAGAGGCGAGGAGCGATGAGAGAGAGCGGTGAGGAACGAGGAGCGTGGAGCAAGGAGGGAGAAGGGAGGTATGAGAAAATGCCAGCACACGAATGTCTCAATGGTCTCGGCGCGTGTGTGGCCGAACATCTGGTCTCCTCTTGGGTCGCCGACGGGGCTCTTTTGGATTGCCGGCGCGATCCCAGAGCTCTCTAAGAGATCTTCCCTCGGAAGCCTCTGCGAGGCGGCTTGTGGGGTGTCTTGGACCTCCCGGGGCCCTCGTGGGCCTGATTTGGGCCTCGCGCGGGCCTCCCCGGGATTCTGGGGACCCTCTTGAGGGCCTGCTGGCGGGGGCCATCTCGGGGCGGAGGGTGCGCAAGGCAAGTTCCCAGCTCTACCTCTTAGGGCGCTCTTGGGTCCCTCTTGGGGCCGTCATGGCCGTGTTGGGTCCCTCTTGGGCTGCCTGGAAATCACTGATTTTGGTTTCGCTGGGCGCTCTTGGGGGGCCTCTTGGAACTTTCTCGGGTCGTCTCGGGCGCCTCCCCAGCCGCTGAGGCTGTCTTGCACGCCGCTTCGGCTGTATTTGGCTTCCGCGGGGCCGTATAATTAGGGAGAGTGGCCCGACGCCCTGATGGGGCGCTCTTGGGTCCCTCCTGGGGCCGTCATGTCCGTGTTGGGTCCCCCTCGGGCCGCCTTCAGGCCCTCTTGGGCTGCCTGGGGGGCCCTCTTGGGGGCCTGTTGGACCGCCTTGGGGCGATGTTGGGGGCCTGTTGGGCCGCCTTGGGGCGATGTTGGGGGCCTCGTGGGCCATCATGTAGCATCGGAAGCCCGAAGCGGAGAGAACGTTGATTTTTGAACGAAAAAAGAAGCACTGCAAGACAAAATTGAGTTTGGCTTCTCTGGGCACTCTTGGGGGGCCCCTTGGTACTTTCTTGGGCCGCCTTGGGGGCCTCCTTGGCTGTTGGGGCCGTCTTAGGCGCCTCCTGGGCCGTCCGTGGGTTCCGCTGGGCCAGGCCTGTTGGGCCGCCGTGGGGCGATACTGGGGGCCTCTTCGCCATCATGTAGCATCGGAAACCCGGAAAGGCGAGAGCGTTGGAATCCCCCTGAAACCCAGAAAGGAACTCACTGATTTTGGTTTCGCCGGGCGCTCTTGGGGGGCCTCTTGGGACTTTCTTGGGTCGTCTCGGGGGGCCTCCCCAGGGGAGTGGCCCGACGTCCTGTTGGGGCGCTCTTGGGTCCCTCTTGGGGCCGTCATGGCCGTGTTGGGTCCCCCTCGGGCCGCCTTCAGGCCCTCTTGGGATGCCTGGGGGGCCCTCTTGGGGGCCCTCTTGGGGGCCTGTTGGGCCGCCCTGGGGCGATGTTGGGGGCCTCGCAGGCCATCATGTAGCATCGGAAGCCCGAGAAGGCGACGTCGAAATTCTGCAAAAACAAATCACTGATTTGGGTTTCTCTGGGTCCTCTTGGGGTGCCTCTTGGGACTTTCTTGGGCAGTCTTGGGGGCTTCCGGGCTGTTGGGGTCGTCTTGGGCGATTAGCAGATTAGCAGCGGAAGCCCGAAGCGGCGAGAACAGCGATTATTTGTGTCGCATCTCGAAAAGAAAAGAAACTAAAAGAAAACATTGAATTTGGCTTCTCTGGGCACTCTTGGAGCGTCTCTCGGGACTTTCTGGGGCCGTCTTGGGGGTCGCCTGGGGTGTTGGGGTCGTCTTAGGCGCCTTCTGGGCCGTCTTCGGGCTCAGCTGGGCAGTATAAAGGGGTCGTGGCCCGAGGCTTCTTGGGGCCCTCAGGCCCCCCAGGGTTCTCTTGGACCTGTTGGGCCACCATGGGGCGATATTTGGGGCCTTTTGGGCCATCATGGGCGTCCTCTTGGGTCGTTATTGGACCGTCTTGGGGACCTGCTGGGCCGTTGGGGCCGTCGCTGGCGCCTGTTAGGCCGTCTTCGTATATGGAGCATGGCCGAGAAGCGGGCTGTCCAAGCTGTCCTGGGGACGCTTTGCGCTCTCCTTGCCGCTCGAAGGAAAAAAAAAACAATTGGTGCACAGGCCCTTCTCGCACGCGGGAGGTTCCGGCATTGCAGAAGAGATGACGCTGGGCTCCAGCTTCGCCTCCCACATTTCTCTGAGCAGCGACAGAGCCATCTGCCACTGCTCACCCTTCTCGCACGCGCTGATACCAACGCCGTAGCTGACTAGAGCTGGCCCGTGCTCTTCCTGACAGGTCACTCGTATGCGCGGGCGAACAGTCCTGCGCGCATTGCTGCTGGCCTCCTGGCCTGACACCCCCCTCCCCGCATTTTCGGCTTGCATGCCGGCTGGCTTGCCTGCGTGGTGACTTGCCAACTTGCTTGTTTCCTATCTTACCCGCCCGCTCGTAGCCGCTTGCTGTCACTTGCTGCTAGTTGCCGCTGTTCATGCCTCCGCTGGCGCCGCCTGTTTGCTGGTGCGTGGTGCGGCTTGTTGCTGCCGCTTGCCACTTCTTGGCGGCGGTGTTGCATGTGCGGGCTCCTGCGATTGGCTAGTGCTTGCCGATGCGGCTTTCTGCCGCAAGCTGCTCCTGCTTGCTAGTTCCGCTTGTCTGCTAACCTGCTTGTTTGGAGTCCTGCTGACCTGGCTCCGCGTAGTTGCTCGAGTGCAGTGCGGACGCTGTCGCAAGAAACTCTTGCAAGACACCCGAAAGGTCGCACTCCATCTATATTTGGCATGTGTGGGGGCATCTTCAGGCCCTCTTGGGCATCTTGGGGCTCCCAGGGCATCTTGGGCCGTCGCGTCGTGCCGCCCTCTGGGTGCCCTCCCGAATCATCAGCTGGCTCTCTCCCGCCGTGTTGCGCCCTCATACGGCACTCATGGGCCGTCTTGCAAGCTTCATGGGGCGCCCTGGGGCCCTCTTGGGGGCTCTCTGGGGGCCGTAGACGAAGAGAGTCGGGCCACCTTGAGGCCGTGTGAAGCACTGTGTAACGAGGGCTTTTTTCTTCCATTTCAACCATTGAATTAGTTTCAACAGGCGAGGACGGTGACCACGCCTCAGGCTGCCAGGCAGTCCACTTGTTTTGCGGGGGGACCGCCTGCCCACGCTTCAGGTGGGCCACTGACAAGGCGGGCCAGGGGACAAAACGCCCAGAGAACAAACAGCAGACTAACCTACGGGCTTGTGACATGCTCGGGCCACCTCCCGGGCCTTCTTTGGGCCTATGTTGAAGGCTCGTGTGCCGTCGTGGCGACTCTTGGGAACGTTCGAGCTTGAGGACCCCGGAGCCCGTGACGCCCGCCGGAGCCAAAAGCCGAGGCGATCGGAGCGGCCTCGCAGCGCTGGAGGGACAGGGCCCGAGCGCAGCAGCCGCCTGGGTTGGCAACGGCCCGATCCCAGGCCGTCGTCGAGGCCTCCGCCGCGAAGGCCTTGAAGGACGAGTTCTGCGGGCGCCGTTGCGCGGGGCGCCTGCTGGCTCGCTTGACGGCCCTGCTCCAGTCTCACTCGGCCGCCCGTCGCACAGATGGCCCCAGGATGTGCCCCTCCCACGCGCGGCTCCCTGCGCTACAGACCTGACTGCGGAGGCCGCGCTGGGCTCTCTGGGGCCCTGTCGGAGCCGCATGCTGCGCATCGGCGCGCCGTTCGCGCGCGCGCGGCTCCCGCCATGGGAGGAGCCAGGACGAGGAGCAGGAGGAGGAGGAGGAGAAGCAGGAGGAGGAACAGGAGGAACAGGAGGATGATGAGGAGGAGGAGAAGCATGAGGAGAAGCAGGAGGAGGAGGAGCACGAGGAGGAGCAGGAGAAGCAGAAGGATGACGTTGGGCTCCACCTTCGCCTGCCACATCTCGCCGAGCAGCGCCAGAGCCCGCCGCCACTGCACGCCTCTGCCGCACGCGCCAACGGCTGCAAGGTGCTGGCCCTGGCTGGCTGCAGGGCGAGATGCAGACGCCTCGCAGAACAGCCGCAACGCTGCTCTCCACTGCCGCGCCCTCCCATGGTTCTTGATGGCCGCTTCGAGGGCTGGCTGGACTTCGCGGCTCCCGCCGTGCCATGATCCTCGCGGGATGTCCAGCATCCAACGGGGGTTCGGCCAAGCATCAGGCCCTGATCAAAAGATGCTTCCTTCTCGTCGCCTCTCTTTCTCAATTCCTCCTGTCCTCCTCTCTCCTGTACCTCTCTCTTCTTCCCCCAGCTCTTGCTCTTCACCCGGGTCGGACTGGAGCTGGGTCGAATGATAGTCAACAGAAAAAGCAATGTATGCATTCGAGGTCGGCACTCACTCCGCCAGCTCGGGCGGAGTCGAAATCAGAACCGCGTATCGAAATACGCGTCTCGAGTCGGCGTGGGCCTTACATGGGCATCGAAAGAGATAACGATAGAGATAGATAGAAAGAGGGAGAACGAGAGAGAGAGAGAGAGAAAAACAAAAAAAAAGAGGGGAACAAACCTACGAGATAACAAGCAAAACACACATTTAGATACATTCGTCTATCTACATATATGTATAGAGAGAGGGAGAGAGAGAGAGAGAGAGACACACATACACACACGCATCAAGCAATAATGGCACTTCACCCTTGACGGCATGAGGCCCTAAACAGCTCTTTAGAACACTAAAGCAATGCCACCCTTGCGACACCAGACCCAACACGGCTTACACGGTTACGATTGGGGCCACTATGGAGGCCACGATGGGGGGCCGCAATGGTGGGGGGGATCGGGATAAGGATATAGGGCCAATAATGTAGGAATTCGAATGTAGGGGTAGGCATGGGGATGCAGGATATGGATAAAAAAGGATTCGGATAGAGGCAGAGGGGCAGGGATGCGGATAGGGACGGACATGGGAGGACATGGGAGGACATGGGAGGACGCGAGAAGCAACGGGCGGTAACGTCGTCTGACCGATCTCGGATCTGGCGACGCACCCACGAGTTTTTTGTTTAACAAGACTTGTATAACCCTGGCAGACAAGCTTTTCAGGGAATCGCTAGAGAGATCAATGGATAAGACGAACAAGTAACATACAGAGTACTCGAATTGGCGCTGGGAGGGGGACCATCCGGGCGATCATGCGTGAAGACATGCGCAAGACCATACGGGAGAGACCGCACGGGAGACACCACGGGAGACACGACGGGAGACCATGCGGGAGACCGTACGGCAAACCACTGCGGGAGACCATACGGGAGACCATACGGGAGACCGTACGGCAGACCACTGGCCACCGACTCGGGATCTTGAATGGGTTCACGCCCGGCCTCACAAGCAAGACACACGCCAGAGACCCCTGCAGACCAGCCGGTGTTAGGGCTTTTTTGCCAAGACAGCCGCAGTCCCCCGCAAGACCAGGACCAGAGCGAAGGGGCCTCCCTGTGGCCTCCCCGTGCGCCCCACCGCTTGACCTTCCCGCTTGACCTTCCCGTGTGGTCTTCCCGTGTGGTCCCCCTGTGGGGTCCTCCGTGCGGCCTCCGCGCGTGGCGCCCCCCCCCCCGGACGGCCCTCCGTGGGAGGAGCCCCGGCAGAGGCAACGCGTGCTCGAGGATGGACCAGTCCCGCCCAGAGCCCCGCTCCGACTGGCCGCTGTTGGCGCCGCGATCCCTGCGATCGCCAGCAAGCCTGTCCACGCCACCCTAAACGTGAGAGAAGACCAGCTCCTACGATCGTCTCCTTACCAGTGGCCGCCCAAAGCAGGGGGAAGATGGGAAGGCAGGTTTAGGGCACGCGGGCGCCAACGGGCGCGTTCAACTCCCATGAGACCGCACCGCCCCCGCATTTGCGGATAAGAGAGGTGGCGGCGGGGCCATTGGCAGTCTGCGAGGCTCTGAAGAAGCCTGCCGCAGGCGCCCATCTCTCCAAACTAAAGAAGCAACGAGCCCGCCGCAGGAGCCATTCTTTAGTCAAAACAATGTCGGCGGGTCGCGGGTGGATCGCTGATGGGTCACGGGGTCGATCGCGAGCGGGACGTGGGCGAGGTCGACGACAACATCATCGCAACAACGCAACAACGACAAGGCAACAACAATCCGTAGTACCGCGGAGCCCCACTTCAACCACGCGCCCAAGGAGAATGAATGACCGTTCGGCCCCCTCGAGAGAGATCGGGAGGGAGAGAGAGAGAGAGAGAGAGAAACAAAAAAATAAATAACGAGAGAGAGAGAGAGAGCGAGAGAGAGAAAGAGAGAGAGAGAGAGAGCGAACACAATTACCGTATTCGTTATCGTCGTTATCATCATGTTATTTCTTTTCTTCCTTTCCATTGAAATCATGTTCTTCTTTCCCTTGTCGCTCTGGCCCTTCCCTGTCTTCGTTTTCAGCTTTTTGTTGTGGAGGCTCCTCCTTGGAGGGTCTCTTTTGGGTCCTCGCGAAAGCATCATGGGGACTTCTGTGGGTCTCTGGAGGCCTCCTGGTTGCGCTTTGGGGGTCTCCGGGTGCTTCTTGGCGTTACCTCGTTGCCAACGACAGCCTGCCTCAACGACCAGGCCACGATTTGGAATGGTTCGAGGGGCGTCTCGGGGCCGTCTTGGGCCGTGATGGGGCTCTCTTCTTCGGGCCATTTTGGGCCCCGAACCGTCTTGGAGCTCCCTTGAACTTTCTGGATCCCCTTGTGATCAATGTTGGTGCGATTTTCGGAGCCTCAGGGTCTCGGAAGCCCAGAATACCGAAGAACCGAATATCACAGCATCGCACGAAAACCCTGTACGAATCAATGCTTTTTGTGTGTCGAGTTGCCTCTTAGGGGCTTCCTTTCTCGGGGAGGCGTGAGAATCGGGTTCGGGGGACTCGGGTTGGCCTGACGGGGTCCTCATGAAAATTACGAAACGTAATCTGAAATTTAACGCCGCTGCAAACATCCCACGGAAACTGGACCGTCAAAACACAAGACACGCTCGTCAAAACGCGCCGGCAAACCAAAATTCCAGCGTACTCGAGTCTTACGTTTCCCCGGCTTGGGGTCGTCTTCAAGCGTCCCGATGGTGTCCTGAGACAGATTTTAGGGGTGTGGCCCCGCCGCTCGGCGGCGTTAGAGAACATATACACATGTGCGTATGTATGTTTGTACGTGCGTGTGTTTCTATGTATGTATGTACGTATGTATGTCTGTCTGTATGTATGCATGCATGCATGCATGCATGTATGCACATATATGCATGTATGCATGTATGTATTTATGTATGCATGTGTACATATACACATGCATATACGTGTTTAGATTGTTGATTTTCTGACCGTCGCCATCTCAATTGCTTCCTCGGCTCGGTACATCTATGGCGGGCTCCGGAAACCCTGAACCCAAAAATGCTGCCATCTCTTCGAGGACAACTCTTGACTTCCGCCAACTTCCGTCGACCTTCCGCCGGCCTTCCGCCGGCGGAGGCGCCCCCATTTTACTTCCGCCTCCGCGTTCCGCTATGTATGCATATATATATATATATATGTATATATATACACACTTATTTGCAAACACATACATATGTGTAGATTCTATATAATTCGAAGTCCACATATATGTAGATACAATGAAATGTGTGTATATATGATCGGGTTGGAACGGCTATGGCGCGCGGTCTTTGTGAGTTTCGAGGTCAAAGCTACTGGGGCCTGTCAGGAGGCCTCGTAGGGGCTGTTTGGGGGGCCTTTGGAGGGTTCTTTTGGGCCTCTAAGGGGCCTTTGGGGGCCTCCGGGGGGCCCTGCTGGCAAGCGTACCCTTGGAGCGGAGGGCTCGAAATCTCGATTCGACTTCCCCTTCTTGGATCCCTCTGGGGGCTCTCGCAGGGCCCTCTTGGGCCGTCTTGAGCGCTTCTTTGGCCGTTTGGGGGCCCTCCTGGGGCGTTACGGGGACCTCGTGGGGGCTTCTTGGGCCGTCTTGGGGTGATCCTGGAAGCCTCTTCGGTCGTCTTGGACGCCGTGAAAGCAGAAAAGCAGCACATGCTAGAATAGATCATTTCTCGAATATTCTTACAAAAGGCCCCACCCCCGTACATAACACACCCCCCCCTACAGAAATTCGGCCCTGGGCGCTCCCACCAACGTGACATTCGAATTTTCGGTTTCGGGAGCCTTCCGGGCCATCCTGCGCCGCCAGGGCGGGCCCAGACGGTCCCGCGGAGCCCCGAAACAGCCGAAGGCTCCAGAACGGCCCATGAGCGCTAAAAATGAACCCAAGGTGGCTTCAAGACGGCCCAAGAGGCCCCCAAGACGTCTCAAGAGGCCCCCAAGGGGACCCCCAAAACGCAAAAATCGTCCCATTCCTATCGGGCGACGTACAAATTCAACATATACGCTTCTTTGGTCTCCACGGCGTCCAAGACGGCTCAAGAGACCCTACAGATCGCCCCAGGACGGCCCAAACATTATCCAAAAGGGTCCCAAGACGGCATCCCAGACGGCCTAAGGCGGGCCCCAGAGAGTCTCAACAAAAGGCCCCCAACAGAGCCCTAAGAAGGCCACAGGAGGCCTCCAAGAGGGCCCAAGAGGGCCCCAGGAAAGCCCCAAAACGGCCGAATCCCCCCAAGACGGTTCAAAAGCGTCCCGGGACGGTCCAGGAAAACAGCCAGACGGCCCAAAAGAGCTCCAAAAGAATCCCCACGAAGGCCTTCGGAGGCCACATTTTCCTCAATCAGAGCTTGCCTCTGTAGGGGTCCGGCTGGTTGCCCGGGTGCCCGGGTGCCCGTGGGTGCCCGGTGTCACAAGATTTCGGTGGCCGGTGGCCGGGTGGCCGGGTGGCCGGGTGCCCGTGGGTGCCCGGGTGCCCGGGTGCTCGGGGGTGCCCGGAGCTGCCAAGGGGTGCCCGGGTACTTGATAGCCACGTAGCCCTACAGCGTTATAGCTCTATGGCCCAATAGCCCAACAGCACATGTAGCCCAAGTGGCCTTATAGCCCAATAGCCATATAGCCTTATAGCCCTGGCCCCTGTAGCCCCATAGCCCAATAGCCCTATAGCACTATACCCCCATAACAATATAGCCCTATAGCCCCATAGCCCTATAGCCCTGTAGTCCTAGAGCCCCATAGCCCCAACAACAACCGGATTGTTTGTTTTCTCTGGTAT